GGCTAGGACAAGATCCAGTAGGATCTTTAAAGACAGCGATATTGAATTTGGATTTTCAGACTTTAAAAATGGGAAGAATATGAAGGATTTTTATGCTGGGGTACCATTATTTGCATGAAAGCAGAGAAACCAGTTAGGCTGTTTCAGCAGTGCAAGCTTGCTGCTAGAGAGTATGGTGGCAATAGATATGGAGAGAATTAGACAGGTTAGATAGATGTTTTTGGAGATAAAATCAATAGGAATTGGTTTGGGTGAAGTAGTTGAGAGGAAGAGAAGTGTCAAGGATGAATCCCAAGTTTCTGGCCAGATTGTAGGTGATGGTACCATTTGCAGGAATAAGAACATTGCAGAAGGATGTTTTCCTTTGTTTTCCTTTGAGGAGATCATGAATTCAGTTTTAACTGTGTTTAGTTTGAGATTTCTTTGAGACACTTGAGTGTAGATGATAAGTAGGCAGCTGAATATATGTATACATCTGAAGCTCAGAGGGTCTGGACCTGTAGATGAAATGAGAAATTCAGTTCCTCTGTTGCAGTGAGCACTCATTATCCACATGTGGTTATTGGCTATATCATATTGAACAGCACAGTTTAGAACATGCCCATAATCAACAGTCTTATTGGACAATGTTGGTATAAAATGAGAAAAGGATTTAAGTTTGAATGTTTAGAGCTCTACTTTTTAAAGGTTAGATAGAGGAGGAGATACTTGAAAGGGCACTCAAAATTAGTGACCAGAGAGAGAGACAAACTAGATGAATATGGTATTGTAGAAGTCTTTTGAACAGATTATTTCAAGCAGCAATCAATTGATTGATTTCTGCTGATAGATCTAAGAGGCGATGACTAAAGAGTATCCATTTTATGGAGGTTATTGGTGAACTAAAAGCAATTTCAGATTGGTGGTGGGTATGGAAGTCATATTGGAGTATATTAAAGCAAGAAATAGAAGGTGAGCAAGCAGTGACTGTATGTTTTATAAAGAAGTTTGACTACGGAGGGGCATATAGAGATGGAGTGGAGTGGGAGGGAAACGTGGGGCGCAGAAGGTTTTTGTTTTTCCCATGGGAAGAACTTGACACGATTTCATGCTGATGGAGAGGAGCCAGCAAAAGGGAAAAGTTAAAGATATTGTGGTGTGTCTAAGGAATGGTTATGTGTATACGATTCTCTAGAGCTGCGGTCCCCAGGACCCAGGCCTGTTAGGAATGGGGCCACACAGCAGGAGGCAGACAGCATGTGAGCGAGCGAAGCTTCATCTGTATTTATAGCGTCTTCCCATCACTTGCATCACCGCTGGAGCTCTGTCTCCTGTCACTTCAATAGTGGCATTAGAGTCTCATAAGAGCACAACTCTTAAACTACACATGTGAGGGATCTAGGTTTGTGCTATTTATGAGAATCTAATGCCTGGTGATCTGAGGTGGAGCTGTAATACGCTTGAGTTATCCTGAAACTTATCACCCTCCACCCCACAATCCATGGAAAGTCATCTTCCATGAAACTGGTCCCTGGTGACAAAAAGGTTGGGGAGCTGCTGCCTTAGAGTATCAAAGGTGTTGTGATTCATATTGAAAGTAAACTTGATAGGAGGAATCTTCCTCCTTGGATAAGAAGGAAAAGGAGATGAGTACAAATATAGGTTGGTTTCCATGAAACAGTCTGCTTGGAATGAGAGGGCTTGAGAAGAAGCATATTCAGAGTTTCACACTAAATGAGAAGGTGCGAAGTAGTTTTTTCAGATAGTAGTAAGAGATTAGTTGCCTATGGAAACTTAGATTATATCCTGTGTCAAGGGCCCAGTTGAGGTTGGCAATCAAGAATTTATAATGAGAGCTCTGTGTGTGTGTGTGTGTGTGTGTGTGTGTGTGTGTGT